AAGAAGAAGGGACTAAGCATAAACTACAAGAAGACAGAATGCATGGTCATCAGTAAAAGGATGAGCCCAAAATGCGATTTGCAGGTCGGGAACACTAAAATCAAACATGTGCGCAAGTTCTGGGAAGTGTTTTGACAGAGGATGGTAAATGCGACACTGAGATCCGTAGACGTATTGGGAGGGCCAAGGACGCATTCCAAAAGCTGGGCAGAGTATTGCGAGACAGGAGGATTTTTTTTGGTAACAAAGAAAAGAGTACTGAGCTACTATGTGACATCTGTCTAACAGTCTCTTCAAAGATGAGGAAGAGACTGGAGGTGACAGAGATATGGTTCTACAGATGGATGCTAAGGATATCATGGACCAAGCGTGTGAGCAATGATGAGGTTTTGGAGAGGATGCAAACAAGGAAGAGGCTTATACTTAACATCAGGAAGGGGCAGCTGAAGTTTCTGGGACCCATAATAAGAAAGGAGGGATTGGAGAATCTGATACTCACAGGTTGAACAGAAGGAAAGTCAGACAAGGGAAAGCAATGCATGACATACCTGGTGGGCTTAAGCAAGTGGATGACAGAACATCATCTGGGGGAGGTGGCAGAGGGATGAAACCTATTGAGAGCTACATGGGATAGGGGGAAGTGGAAAGCCCTGATTACCCAGATCCTGAAAGGACATGGCACATAAAAAGAAAAGAAATATCTACACTTTACAATTTATTTAAACCTAGAAAATATTTTTAGATTGTAAGAATTTTTTTTTTTTTTTTGAGATAATAATGGTTTTAGTGATACAAATCTTACTAATTAATCCATATCTGGAGGGAGAGAAGAGATGGATTCATATCTTTCCCAAGAGTATTTGCATGTAAGTGAATATAACAAATTCAACTGGAATTGGAATTTGGTTCCTGATTAACAATTCCAAACCATTATCTCTTGTACCACCTGCACATTCAAGTTTACAGCAACTGATATTCCCGAACAGTTACTCATTTAGGTACTGACCAGACTTTTTGTTGCTTACCTTCAGTGATAGTACAGGAAGCACTTTCTTTATTGAGTTTTCATTGACATCTTTCATTGCTTTTATTCAGTATACAGTGTGTGGCGGAAATCTCCCTCATAATGTTAAGATATTAGCTAGATGAAGACACCATTGACACTAATGTCTTACCATTATGTAGCAGGTATTTTTGTCATACTGTGTATTTAATACAAATTATATTCTAACAATTGTGAACAGAAATATTTTAGTCATAAAGACACAAGAGTATCTTGGTGTGAAACAGCAGTTAACAATTTAGCTTAACAGAATACTGGAGTGATTTCAACCCTCTCTTAGTGTTCCACATCTCTGGCCTTGCTTAGCTCAAAAAATGATTTAATATTTTCATCTTTATTAATGACTGTGCAATGAGAATCGAAAAAGAATATCTCCTGGGTCTTGAATTATGACTTTGTGCATGACTGCATCTATTGATTCCCACTCACGTAATTGATATTCATGGTTTTTCTTTCAGTCTCAACAACTCACAAATTGTTATTTCATTATGTGTCTGGATTTGTGGTGTAACATAAAGAATTCTTTGATTTCCTGTTCTTGGACTAAAAGGGAATATCATCAATGACTCTAGTGCCTGTTTAGTGTTCAAAAACTTTGGTTTATTATAAGGATATAGATAGCTGTTAAGAAAAGTTTCCTGGTTGTCACTTGTAGCATACTTATTCTTCAGATATGATACTCTAGTATGGTAATTTTGTTGGTTAATTCTGTGTTCCTTAAAAAGATTATTAGGCTTTTATCCCAACATTTATGTATGACTAATTCCTTGAAATTAATCTCATGTTTGCCAAATTCTTTCTTTCTTTAAAAATCAAATGCCTTTAATATTGATAAGTTGCTCAAGACTCAGAATTTGACTCTACTTATTCAATATAAGATAAAAGCAACTTTACTTAGGATGATTGATCTACGTTTTACCAAAGAAACCATTAATCTTGACAATCCAAGGATTGGCAGACCAGACACAGATTGAATGAATTTTATTCAGCAGGATCAAGTAATTTTTTTTTTTAAATCATTCCACCCTAAGCCAGATAATAAAGCCACTAAGACACAAAGGATTACTTAGTGTGAAAAAATAAGAAAAAAAGAAAAGAAACATTATTAAGGATCAAGAACAATAGAAGAAGAGGAATCAAGAAAACAGTAGATAACAATTGACATTGCATTTAAATTTTTGAAGATCAAAGTTGGCTGAAAAGCATGGAGCTGGAAGAGAGTTCCACAAGCAAGAAGTGCAAGAAAAGAAACTGTTAGCATAGAACTTATAGTTACATTTAGCCAACTAAACTGTAAATTGACAAGACCTTGTTGCCAATCTAGTTTAAATTCATAAAGTCGAGGTACCATAGTGGAAGGTAATTTTTATTTTGTTGAATAAAAAAAATATGGCACAAGGCCTAAAGGGAGTGGGTATGGGAAAGACTGGCCTTCAATCTGTCTTATCAATGAAATCTTTCTATGAATAATTGTCAAAGGGGGGAGATTTACAATCTTAACCAGAATAAAAATTTTAAAAATTAATTTACCTAGTCGTCCGTGCAAGGGAGATAACACCTAATTTTAATGTCACTAATGAGTTATCTCCCTTGCATTGATTTTTTTTTTTTTTTTTTTTTAAATTATACACAAAATGTATAGAAATTCATTTGGTATATTAAATGGTAAGATTCTAATATCTTTAAAGTTTTTCATATATCTAACTGTTCATTATACAAGTCTTATGAAATATTTCTAAATCACCTAATTTAACTTTTTTTTTTTAATTAGAATTATTTAATTGGTTAGACTTTACAGTTAGTAAAGGTTAATTAGGATTCTTCGGGTTACCATGTATATCTAAGTCAGATTCTTAAGAATTAAGATACGAGAGAACTCTTTCTGCCTTACATCATGTCAGCATGGCTGATGCTAACCCCCAGGATTCTGACTCATTGTGTCTTCTTGGGGTAACGTTTTCTGCTGACATGAAATGGAAAAAATATATTGAATTAACTGCTAGGTCTGCAACTAGGAAAGTTGGTTCACTATTCGTTCATTGTGTCATATTAGACAATTTTTCATAACAGAATCTATCCTATATATTTATAAATCAATCATTCTTCCATGCTTTGGATATTGCTGCCACATATGGTCTGGTGCTCCTGCTATATATTTAGAGATTCTTGATAAAATCCAAAGAAGAATCGTCCAATGGATTTACAAAACAAAACTACATCCTCCTACTCTGCAGAGGATGTAGCTTTTTTATTTACATTTGTATAGGCATTTTTTTTTTATTCTCTCTGAAGATGCAACATTATTTTCTGAACAACATATATATGTAGGTACCTCCACCAAATCACTAAAAAATCTACATATTGTGATAAAAAACATGCTATAAATGTAATGAAAACTGTTTTATTGTCAAAATCTTTCTTATTATTAAGAGGAAGGATAAAAGTATTTGATTAGTGAATTACATTTTTTACTCCTTTTTAGAACAGTCAAAATTTTCATTAAAAAAACTTGTTTTTCTAGCATCAACGGTTGTACTGTTAGCAAATTTTCACCTCTTTTTTGTGGTAACAAACACAGTAATTTGGAAATTCTTGCAAAAATCAAATAATTGTCAGATTTTAATGAAATTTTTGGGACTTATTCACAAATGTATTAAATTATTTTTGAAATTTTTTATTAAAAAATCTTGGTAATTTTTTTCTTTTTTTTTATATATATGTTTCACCACCTCCTGCTTATGTAATTTTATGAAAACTTGAGAAATTCAACATGATAATTTTTAATGACTATATTCATTAAAAGCAGGATTTTTTGAAGAATTTAAATAACCAATTGTTTTTTGCAAAATTGGACCGCATTTTGCCCAAAATCTGCTCTGAATTAAAAAAATAAAAAATGCATTTAAACTAAGACATTATTTAATTAGAGAACCTTTTAATTGCTTTTATGAGTAATATATATTAAAGACAATATTGGCTGAATAAATTTTTCAATGAAAAATGAATTTTTACAAGATTTATGCTCATTTTTTACAATATTCAATTTAAAAACCATATACATTATTCAACCTTTTAAAATTCAGTTTCAATATGATAATTCTTAGGAAATAATGTTATTAAGTAAAACTATATTTACTAATCATATATTGTAAAGCTTATTACAATCTGATGAACTTGAATATTTTTAAAAGAATTTCGATTTGTTTTTGTATATGTGATATACCTGCAGAATTTATGGATGTTCAAAACTTTCACATTATTATTAAAATGTCACATGTTTTAAGAGTTGCCCCCTCTTACAGAAAAAACAAAACAAACTATTATATAAACTTTATCGTCTGCTCTACCATACTCAACTATGAACATGTTTGGTGGTCAATTGACTGTCAATAAATCAATTAACACATCAGTAAAACAAGATCCAATGATTAAGAAATGCTTGTATACAACATTTTATGTTATAAGTAATGTTTGTTTCAAATCAGATTAATTTAAATTTGCTAATTTTCCTTAAATAATGATTCAGAAATATATATTTTATTTTTGCAAAATTTTTAAAACCAAGAATCAACTTTTGTTTACAAATGTGTCAAAATGGCAGTTTTCATCGATTTAACTGAAAAAAATCGATTCCAATCAATATAATTTCTATTTGAAATATACCACAGTATTTTGCTTACTGGAAATAGTAAATTTTAAATCCTTGAGTTTTCAATTAAAGCTAAAATAAAAGCTTCAAGAAAGCTATTTTCAAAATTCATTTTAAACCAAATTCGTGGAGTTACTTAATATATAACTTGTGTGCAAAAGTTTCCAGCAAGAAACCAATTTTCAACTGTATAGTCAGTCTTTAGTTTTCAGAATGACTATGTGAATTTCTTTGCACACATTTAATGTTTTCCAGTATGGATTTTAATTATATATTTCTTTGTTCCAGAAATATTGGCCTTGGATCCTGTTTGTGCTGGAGCCGTATTGGAAGTATTTTATCTCCACAAATTGTTGTCATTGTAAGTAAAGACTTTTCCTTTTTCAACAAATGTACAGATGGACGAACATGAATATATAAGCAAATTTCAACCACCAGCTTAAATTTTATCTTTAAAATGCTTGTACTGTTGTGTGTGTGCGTTTGCAGGGTGCGATGGGTAAATTGTCGTCATTTTATATTTTTAATTTCATGTATGTGCGTTGTTTGATTTTGTCAACTGCACAGTTTAGTAGAGTCAGTTGGTCATCATCTGTGAGAAAAAGTGCACCATGATGCAATTCACTCTGCCAGAGATTTGGAAATGGCATCCTATACTGCTTGGCATTCATGCTGGAAGCTCCAATATGAACATTTCAGTTAATCTAAGGCCAATACAGAGGATTTGGAAAGAGTTGGATATGTCTAATAGTGATTAAAAAGGTGTTTGGAGTGGTCACTAATAATGGCAATGTTATGAATCCATTCATCTTCCCCCAGAGCCTCAAACTCAACATGGAGGCCTGCATCAAGTGGAGGTAGTGCTGCCCTTGGTCAAGAAGGTGGCTGCTGGAAGACCCTAGGTCTGGCAACAAGACTCTGGCAAGCAGAACCCAGTCATATCTGTCAGACAATTTCTGCAACATCACTCCTTGCATCTGGCCACCTAACTCTAACCCCCTTTATTATTATGTGTGGGGTGCAGATGAACTGTAGGCAAGGATTATGGGAGCATTCACCAACTTCAAAAGGGAGACTGTGCAGAAGAGTTGCAGGAAGTTCTGAAGTCGTCTGGAATCCGTCCTTGAAGCCAATAGAAATTTCATTGAATAAATTTACTCTTTAGTATTTCAAGATATTTTTGTGCGATTTTGGTAACTATATCTATTAAAATTAGATGTCAGTGTTATTTTCATTTTTGTATAATTTAGACGACAATTTATCCATTGCACCCAGTATCTGTGTAAAAATTTTCTAGTATTTCTGTAAAAGGGCAATATGGTATATAATGGGTATCTGCTGGCAAATGTATATTACTGGTATTGATATTCTCAGAGTCCGTTTACCATTATAGAGTCTCTGGTAACTCGGTGCCAGTTATAATGGAGCTCCACGAAATCGCTAAAATCGCTAAAAAAGAGCATAGCTTGATGAAAAAGACGCCAACCTTGCCGAAAACAAAATTTTATTGTCTAAATGCTTATGTTATTATTTAGAGGAAAGACCAAAGTTTTTTTTAATTATTTTTTAAAAATTTTCCTTCTTTTTAGAAAATTCTAAATTTTGATTAAAAAAACCTTGTTTCTATTTGTATCAGCGGAACTAGTAAATAACATAGACAATTTTTAGCACGTTTTTTTGGTATGACACACATTAATTTGAAAAATCGTTCAAAAATAGAAATAATTATCGGATGTTAATGAAACTTTCAGGAACTATTCACAGATGATCGAAATTATTATAAATATTTTTTTTTTATGAAAGTCATGGTAGAAATATTTTTTAAAAATATTTATTACCCCCCCATAACTAATTTTATGAAAACGCTAGAAATTCGATCGCATCGGTTTTAGTGATTACAATAATTAAAAGCACAGGGCTTTGAGGAATGCAAACCATGTTTTTTTTTTTGTTTTTAATTGGAAACCCAGTACCTGAAAAATCAGCTCTGAATTGTAACATACAAAATTCAATAAAACAAATATATTATTTCATTTCAAATGCTTTTATTTGCTTTTAGTTGTTTTTATGAATATGGACAATATTTTCTGAAAGCAAAAAAAATTTTTCCGATGAAAATGAATTTTAATACAATTATTTGTTATTTCATTAATTATAATAGATTTTACATTTAAGTTGTTAAAATATTATAAAATTAGTTAAAAGCCAAGACAGGCTTTCATAAGTGTCCTTATGAGATAGATTTTTTTAGCGCGTTGTAAATTGTATCATTTTGACTAATCAGAAGATCCCCAGTAATTAAGAAATGTAATTTTTGTGCTTATAATCGAGCTGTAATTATAAAATACGGAAGACCAACCAGAATATAATTAAGTTGCGTTATTTGAGTTAAGCATTGTTCTCCGCTGTTAAGGCCATTACTTTTGCGAAAACACGTGTGGAGAAGTTAATTTGATTTTTCAATTTCAACTGAGAAGGTTACCTACAAGTATCAGTATCATCTTATGAAATTTATATGATCTTATTTTTATATTAATCTCAGTTACGACATTTTTCCATAAATGAAATATCAAAATTAATAATAAAATGAATGCAAATACAAATAACAGTAGAATGTAATAAATGTACATAAAATTATAGTATTTTATGTACAATTCTGATAAAATTTCATAAGAAAGGTACCTATAAATTAATTAGATACCTTTCTTAAGAAATATGAAATTTAATGTCACTCTTAACAGTTTTATTTTAATTTCTTTACAATATATTTCCCATAAAGCATCATAAACGTAAAGGTGAAAGCTACAAAAAAAAAAAAAATTAGACCGCTGAAAGTTTTCGTTAAAAATAACGGGGTAAATAATTTGTTCACGTAAATGTAAATTATTTCACTTTTTCCTTCCGTAGAACAAATTAGCCTCATGGAATTCGTAAATATATCATTCATCACATGTCAAGAGACGCGAAAGTTTATGACCTGCTTTGTTTTTATTTTCAAATTACATCTTTTTGGCACAAAAGCTAAGTTAAGTTTGGTTCAAAATATTTTAAATAAACATTATAATTTCTGATTTTCTTAAAATAAGTTTTGAAAAAATGATAATTGATATTTAAAAAAATTTCAAAGTCAGATTTCCAGTTTTTTTTAAAATGGAAAAAAATGGTCAATTTTGCTGACTCAAAAAAAACTAGATTTTTAACGAAAATTTCGGACGTGCTAGGAACGATTAAAAAATGGAAAAAATACCCCAAAAATACTTTGACCTTTCCTCTTAATGAATAACAAACATTTAGACGATAAAATTTTGTTTTCGTCAAGTTTGGCGTCTTTTTCATCATGCTATGCTCTTTTTTTAGCGATCTCGTGGAGGTACCTATCCTAAGGGTTTTGATGTTAATTTCCCTGAAAGTGTTGCCATAGAATTTGATTTAATGCATAAGAAATGCGGCCATGTTTACCTGAGTTGGGCAGACCTCAGAAAATCATCAGACACCATACACAGGCAGAAATCATTCACTTACACTTGCAGAGTGTATATAAAATAACATTCCCTCAAACAACATTTGAAAGGCCACCAAAATACTAATGCAACAACTATTACTACTGTTTAGTGTTGTATTTATTGCCCTTGTCTTTTGGTTGTTGTTTAGTGCCACCAGGTGGTGGCTTTTATAAAATTCTGGCAGCCATATTGAAAATGATTCATTTGTTCAGTTGTCAATATTCAAACTAACAGGTGGATTACCTTATTGCAGATGTAATTGATTCATTAAAGATTAACAATTACAAAGGATGCCTACTGTTGCCACACCTGCACAAGAGAATGTAAGACCATAGCAGGACTAAAAGGCCACATCCATTCTGCCCATATATTTGAAGAGGAGTCAACCAATAACATTGATCAAAATTATGTCGCAGCCATAATCATGTTGGAGAATGGAATAACCGTTATTGATACAGAAAATGGAATCAGTAAACTGAATTCAAATCCCAGTCAATTCCGTTTTTTCCCTCTAAACTCATGCCCTTAGAAAAGCCATGAATCCATCTTTCCTTGCAGTGAAGTGTTAAATAATAAGGTAGACAGATTCCTCTCATCCTGGGTATGATGATAAACTACATCCACATCCTGGGTCTGATGATAAACTAGGTCCAACAGCAAGGCCTCTGATAATGTTTTTGAAAAAATAATATTACCAGCTAGACTTTTTTTTTTTTTTTGAAAGAATAGTGTTGCCGGCTATATGTTTTTTTAAAAAAAGTAATATTACCAGCTATACGTTTTTGGAAGAATAATGTTACTAGCTATACGTCTTGGAAAAATAGTATTACCAGCTACGCGTTTTTGAAAAAATAATATTACCAGCTATGCATTTGTGAGGAAAAAAATATTAACAGAAATAGATTTTTGACAAAACAAAAATATTACCAGAAAAAAAAAAAAAGTTGTTGGCATTAAATGACCCATTGAGGTTGATGTGCCGTAAAACAAACCAAACCAACAGATTCCTTGCCTTGGTTGGCAGCCAGTCTCATAGATGGAAAACTCTAAACTTAAACTATATCTCTCCAAGATATCAATTAGTCTAGGGGAGGTGATCCCAGCATGTGGCACGTTTGGAAAGAACCTGAAAAGCACACCACTGGGTTGACCAAAGTCTTGTGAGGGAAAATGGATAGACAGAATCATTCAGGCACCATCGATAACTGCACTAGCACAAAATCAAAAGACTGATGGTTTGAACATACTGGCATTGTCCAAACTGCAGGAAAAGGGGTAACTAAGGTCTGCCCAAGCAGACAAGTGTGCCTGGAACAAGAGAAATTTGATATATATTATATATATATATATATATATATATATATATGATGTACACACACACAAATGAGAGAAAGAACAGATGGAGTAAAAATCCACTGTTTGTAGCATTTATTTTTAAAAAAAGTGCTCAATACAGAGTAGAGCAATATATTATTATTTTTATTATAATCTCTTATAATAAAAACATGTTGAAATTACTACACAAAAGCTTTAATGTTTCAATACTTTGATTGTACTTCTTCAGGCAATGGTAAGTAACTGGTGACTAAATGATTTTTAAGAAAATCTAAAAACAAAGTGTCATCTGTTTTCCAAAAGTTAAAGGTGGGGAACATAAGGTCAGAATTAAAAATAGACTTGTGGGTATGTCTTGATTAACCAATTAAATGTCAGATCATCGCTAAGTAGAAAAGTAAGCTCAGAGGGTGGAGGTGGGGGAGATAATTTTTCATGCCATGATAAACCGGCACATAGACAGGACATCATTGACAGTTGCAGAAAATACATAAGCAACAAATGTATTGTGATTGTAGCCATATTTTCCAATATATATATATATATATATATAAGGCTCTTATGGTTATATCTAATCATTTCAACTGTTAAATGATGAGACCTTTCTGCCAGTCTAGTACTTATCTGCAAGGTCAAATCCAATTTGCACAATTTCAAGCTGCTTACCATTCCTACCCAATCATGTTAATTTACAAGAATAATTTTTTTATTTACAACATTTTAAAAACTAATACAATTAAAACTAAAGCAATACTATTTTATAAAGTTTGAATCAATTGGCAATTACCCAATGTTTTGCTAACCATTCCAATAAATAATATAATAGAGTTTGATAACCTAAGGAAGGTTACTGAATAGAATAATCACATGAAGGTTGGTAATGAATGATAATACTTACGACAAGAACAACACATATAAGATTCACCAGTGGTGCATAGAAGTAGTCAACTGCTAGAAGTGAGTCAAGTGAATTCCACAATGAATCTCCAACTGCAAACCAACATACACTATTTACTACTATATTTATGTGAATGGGGACATGCCCATTATCGTTTGTAGGTATGCTACAACATAGTGTTTAATATTTTTGTTGCCAATTCTCAAGAACAAAAAATGTCTAAATTTACTTTCATATGTTTAAGTTTTATTCCATTTCTAATCATTGCTTTTTAAAATAATAAACATTAACGAGGAGTGATGGTAGTTAAAATAATAGTGGTGTGAAGAGAAAAACTGTACTTTTGACAATCCTTGTTTTTTGCAGGCAAGAAGGTCCAATTTTGCCATCAATTGAATATATATTATTAAATAAAACGTTTCTCATTAACATTTAACTTGAATAAGCCTGAAAATATGTAATACAAGGTGTCCATAAAGTTTGTTTGCACTTTAAAAAATTCATAACTTTATTTGTATTTGCACTAGAAATAATTTGTAAAAAGGATTAGAAAGAAGTAAATCTATATTTTTTAAGGTTTTATTGAAATTTTATTTAAATTTCCACATGTTCTCCATCATTAGCAATACAAACGGTAATACGACTTTGCAGTTCCCGGAAATCATTTGCCAACTGATTTACAGTAATGCCTGAAATCACGTTAGTTATTTTAGCTATACTTAAAACTAGGTACATTAAACTTTATAACATTTTTTAGAGATTATTTCTATTGCAAATACAAATAAAGTTATACTTTTTTTTAAAGTGCAAACGAACTTTATGGACACCCTATATGTATAATATATATATATATATATATATATATATATATGAATATATAAATCAACACAGATATAATGACAATATTCTCCACACGTGACAATCACTGACGTTATTTTTCAGTTAAAAAATATGAAAATAGCGTTTTCTCTACATTCCAGTTGCTAGGAACATTCTGTTTTTGTTTTTTATTAGTTACTTTGTTCATTTAATTTCATTTTCGTATTTTGCTTTGATAAAGTCCACATTGGACGAAACGCATCAGCAATTACCAGTTTTCCTATTGTCATTTTTATTCATAAATATATATATATATGTAATCTCAAATGGGGATAATTCCATGATGATCCTTACTTGCTTTAAGTAACGAATAGAGGAGGTATTTGTCATAGTACAATATTCTTTTCTGATTCAATTAGGTATTGTAAAAATTAGCCATTTTGAGGTTTATTGATCATAGGTCCATTTCATTGCAGAATATCATTGTTATGTATTGTAATATATGAAGTAATATCAATAATCAATCATACATTTTTTTTTTTTTGCCAGCACTCTTTTTGCATCAAATACAAGTGCTGTCTGGAATAATCATGCTGGTGCTAAGTTTTCAAGTTTTTTATAAGTGTATTGGTTCAAATTAATGTCCCACCAGGAATTTTTATTCAAATTTAATAAACTCTTGGAAAAAATTATTTGAAAAATGGTAAGCATTCCTTACCTAATAAGCACCATGCCAGCCCAAGAAAATGATTTAATGCAGGCACTTGTATTTGGTACATGACAGTACATATATTTTTGTATATTTTACAGAATTTTGATCTTTTTTTTTCTTTCTCTTTTTTTACCCCCCCCTTTGCTGTCCTTTATCTTATCATGCTTAACCTGGACACCGATAGAATCAATATCTTCACCCTACCCTCCCATTCATCATTCTTGGCGTCCTGTCATTCATCTCGGCTGGACTCTCCTTGCTGCTTTCTGAAACTAGAGACACCAAGCTGCCAGACAACATTGACGATCTTAACCAAAAATATATGCATAACATCCCAGTGATAATAGTCATCGAACCAGAGGACAGTCCACCGCAGACGACCACAATGGTCAACGGTACAGGCACTACAAATGGTACAACCACTACAGCAATAATACCATCCGGCTCACCCGCCCTGGCTATAAGTGCCAATGGTTCGACACTGCCCACTACCGAACTCTGAATGTCCTCATGAGAGAAAAAAAAAAAAAAAAAATCACACACAAAATGAATTGAAAGAAACAAACATGAATGAAATAATACATTTTTTTTTACCAGGTCTCATATTGTTTAAAATATAAAAAAATAAGTAAAAACGAAAAAGACCATTCTTTCAAAACCTCAACAACATTAATATTGACACTATTATTTTTTTTTTTTTTAAATTGTGGGAAACCTATATAAAATGACAGATTTCTAAAGTATACCTTAAAGAAAAAAAAAAACAAATTCGAGAGAGTGGAAAATGCTGTCTGTAATTTTGAAATGAATCATTGTTATTCCAAGACTTGTTTGAGCAATTTGGCTGTGAGTGTTATCGTCCGTATTTCCCCCCTGTTAAAAGGAAATAAACCGAGTTGGTTGTTATATTACCCCTTCTCACCCATTTACTTCTGAAAAAAATAAAAAAAAATAAATAAATGAAAAAATGAGGACCCTTTTCTTTCTTAGAGATTTTATGTCCCAAGAAGGCTACTAGATTGTCTAAAAAGTGCTTACACCATTAATCAACACAAAATGTTTACTTGTCCAAGCAGTTCTTGGAATGAAAATGAGTAGATGTTTTGAAAAAAAAAAAATTATCATCATAATTTCAAGTTTTTGAGGCTATTGGCAAAAATAAAATTTTCTGGGTTTGTCAGAAAAGTAAATATTTAAAAGATGAACTTTATTTTTCTCCTCCCTCAGTAAAAATTAAGGTCTGGAAATTAGTGATATTGCCTTCAGTTTAACATCCCCTGTCTTTGTTATTTTTATCCCAATATTTCAGCTGGCCCATTTTCCAGCTTTCCTCAGGTTTATTACATATCCTATAATCTTCAGGGAATTTCTCTAATAGGACCATTTATGAGTAGATCTAGGATTTTGAGCAGGATGAGGTCCAAAAATGTTTACACTTCAGTTATAGCTTTTTAAATGTAAGATTGAAAAAAGAATAAAGTAAAAAAAATAAAATAAATAGTTAAAGAAATTTCTCACAGAACCAATAAATAAAAAAAAATAAACACAAAGTTCCCAGTTATTTAAAAAAAAACAAAAAAAAAACGGACTCTATATCCAGCTGAAAACCTGTTTTTCATTGGAATTTTTTGCACATTATAAAAAAAAACAAAAAATTTTTATTCTTATGGGTTTTATTTTTCCTTTCTTTTTTTTTTCAGTTTACATAATTTCTTTTTTTTTCTTTTTTTGGCTTATGGATCTTTTGTCCAGTTTACAAGTTTGTTTTTTTGTTTGTTTTTTCTTTTTTTGGGGTGGTGATTTTTGGGAGGTTTGTTTAGTGGTTTTTGGGGGGGTTTTTTCAGTTTACAAGTTTTGTTTTGTTTTGTTTTGTTTTAAAAAAGTTTTCAGTTTACAAGTTTTGGGGATTTTTTGTAAAATTTCTTTATCTAGATATTTTTTAAAGAATACTTTATAATCGTGCTTTGCCTAAGCAGGATTGGAGCTGAAAATGTTAGTCCTTCCTTTGGAGCCACATTTATTCTTTATTTTATCCAATGGTGTTATATTCTTCTTAACTCTTATATTTTTTCTTATATCAGTGATTTTGTCTTGGAAAGAAATAATCGACTGCAGTCAGATTTAAGGCTCTTAAATTTTACAGCTTCCATTTGAAACTCACTAACCCAGCAAGCTTTGAACTAAACAAGTGTTGTGGATTGATTTTCTGAACCAGTTAAACTTAGTGTAATAAAGAAAAAAAATGAGTGGGGTGCAAACTAATACCTGTATTGTACTGTATTACCAATAGCAAACAAACTGAAACAAGATCAATGAATTTAACGTAATTTAAATCCTTGACCATCATTTAATTCCTCTTTATTTACATATTTTGTTTTTAATCCAGAATCAAGTTTACAAGTCTTATATAGATAAATGGTTCTAATGTTTGTCTTTCTACATTAGTTACCATCAAGCACATTTCCATTTTATATATAATAATAGTGTACACATGCTGTCAAAAATGATGGCAATATTTAGAAAGTTTTAATAGTGAGATGCAAAAGTCTTGAAACAATGTATTGAGATTCAGTAAAGCAGTGAATTCACAACTAAAATAGAAGCCAAGGAACTGTTTAATTAATATATTCCCATTATAATTTTTTAGATGTTCAGTGGTATCAATGATTCATTGATTACTCCTGGTATAATATAAAACACTTTTTTCTCAATATCTTTTCAATTTGAACATGTTGTATCTTTAATATAACAGTGAAATGGAAATATCTCTCAGAAGAAAAATATTAGCAACAGAATGATAAACGACAACGACAAAGCCTATTCCAAGACCAACTTGAATCATGACGATCACTTAATAAACAAAGATATCTGAGTGCCTCACATAAAAGGCTTGAACAAATAAGACTGCAATCTCTAAGAAATGAAGGAGTAAGGGAACTGATTAATTAAACATTTCATTTTGCTCAGGATCTAATTTTGTCTAAATGCAGATAATTTTATTTGTATAGATTATTAAAGTGACTAAGGGAAGTAATCACTCAAATTTACTAACTTAAGTTGATTTATCTCCTTTTCCACTACAGATGGGACAGGAAATATATAAATACACATTGATAATTATTATGTGACTTGATTAATAATTTTCAGGTAACAAACATCTAATCCGATTGTTGGTTACAATCAAAGAACTGTGTATTTTTTAAAATCACAAATATTCAAACATGGGAAAGTTGGTTTTCACTATCCTAACTTGGCTAATTGTATTCACTGACAAAATCACACTTTACTGTTCCAAGCACCATAATACCACATTTATATGAACTCTTCCTTACCATAATCATCAAAACAACTAAACCCAAGGAAATGACTGCTAAAAGGATCCCCCTCCCCAAATTTATAGACAAGCCCTACAGATGCATGTTAGGATTTCTTCATAGCCAATAAAAATTGACAATTCTCACTCTTACACATATTTTTTTCTTTCTCACTGTGAAGCTCACCAGACTATTCCTTTTTCATGCAAACACGATTTCTACCTTGTTGGTTGGTTTAGCAGCTTATCAACATCTATGGGCTATTAAATGCTGAAATTTAAATATTTTGTACACAATATTATTTTATTTTTGGAGATGATAATGGTTTAGTGATACAAGTTTTACTAATTAACCCAAACCTGGGAGGGGGAGAGTTGGATTCATGCCTTTCTCAAGGGTATTTGCATGTAAGTGAATATAATGAACCCAACTTGAATTGGAACTCTGCTCTCATATTAACAATTCCTAGCCACTGTCCATTATACCATCTGCAAATTCAAGCTTACGGAACCTGGTATTCCCAAGCGGTCACCCATCTAGGTATTAATTAGGCTCTATGTTGCTTAACTTTGGTGGTCATACAAGAACCGATGTTTTCAATGTGATGTGGCCATAAGCCTTATTTCATATTGTCTTATAGTTGCTTTGCTTTGCCTTGCATTATATTCTCTTGTATTATTTGACTCTATTCTTTCTCTTCTTATTGAGAATTTTGTATTTGATAATATCTGCTTTCTCTACACATATTCTGGAGTACAACCACCACTTCCTTAATGAAGGGATGGTAGGTCATCTGCATCGTTATTTTCAAATAGGATCCTCGTGCTGCTCAGGCTATAAAATTGCTGTCTACTGAAAGCAAGGTTGCCACACACAGTCAGAAAGTCCTTTACCATATATAGCATTTAATCTGCTTCAAATTTCAATTGTCCAATTAAAAAAGTGTTTTTGATGTTGTCGTGTTTGTTTTGAGTCTTCCCTAGTCCTCAGCTCTATTTTCTTCACTTCAAAGAAACTTGCATTCTTCAAGGAATTTGCAGGTGTTTTCATTCCACTGCTGTTGCCATTTGGGGGGGTGGGTGGAACAGGGAGGTTTGCCGATCCTGGTCCTCAGGTCAATATGTGGGATTATAAACTCATCAATGAATACCATGTCCAGCTTTTGAAGCAGCTCCTGTTATTTTCCCCAAATTCCAATCTAGCATGCGATCCAACATAACCCAATCTTTCTTGACTTGTACATGGAATCTAGTCTTGCTTGGAATTTAACAATTAAGAACTTAACCAGGCAGGCATGAACTGAGTTCAAATTCATTGGAATGAGATGGAGATTTTTTACCCCTCCTCATATAAAAATAAATTATTTCTATAAAATTTTAAATGTAAATTTCTTTAAAATTATAATAACATTATTATCTTTTATTAAAACAAGATGCAAAAATGTTACTTTTGCCAAATAATATTTAAATGCAAATTATATAATGCCTTTAAATTCCTTGAGGAACATGGAGTCACAAGATATCATTGGAGTTTCTATAACAAGCCAGTTTTTAAGTGAGTAGGCTGTTAGCTTACCTTAAAACCCCCAACCTAGAGGATCAGGTTTTGAATTCAGAGTTGTCCTTCTCCTAGACCAGTTGCCATCCAAGGCTATAGAACCCAGTCTGTCCTGCTATTTTACCCATAGCTGGGAGGAGAAGGGGAGGATTCATAGCTTTCCCAAGGGTATTAGCATGTAAGTGAATGTAATGGATTCAACTGGAATTTGAACTCGGGTCTCCGATTCCTCAATCTCCACCATGCCTCCTTAAATACAAATTACTTCAATTATTTTTTTCTCTAGAGATAAACACCTTTTCACACTATCACTTTTCACAAATTATCTTCAGTTCTATAGAATGTAGACAATTTTTATATCATGTTTTTCCAATATTTCTTTTTTTATTAACAGCACAAGCACTTCGATGATAGAATTAACTTTTATAACATTTTAGAGATTCCCCCTCCTTCCTCAGGTGTCAATTTCCTGCCAAAATTTCATGTTAAAATAAGAATTCTGAACCATCGAAGCTGCTGGATTAGTGAGATCGAATTTGTATTGTGCTCTACAGAACATTAACTGGAGATTTGAGTTGCTTAGTCCATCAAGTTGCAGAGGTCAATTTCTGGATTAAGTAGTACTTCACCCTGAGGAAAGATAGATTCAAGAGATGGAGATAACATATCCATCTTGACAAAATAACAGGCTCTTTTCAATGATTAATAGGTATGACACATCTGACCAAATCTATCCCACCATAAATATTTCTTCCAGACCCACAGACCATATATAATAGTTTTTATATTATTATTATTATTTTTCTTTAAAATTATTATAATTAAAAATGTCTTTTCTTTATAAATCACAGATCCCTCCCATCAGATTTGCAATTAGAAGTGACTAACCTGCAGTTGAAAGACAGATGAAAAATGAACCGACTTTTAGAAATGCCTTGTAAATGAAAGGCATTTTGCTTCTAAAATCTTTTGCCCAATAATTAATCTTGATGCATTTACGCGAGAAGACATTTTTAAAGGTCATGTATCATAAATCAGTCTATCGGTCAAGAAACACAAATTTAATGGTTGTTCTTCTTTTGTGTGCCCTGTTCTATCAGGATGTGGGTGATCACAGCTCTCCACAACTTCCCTCTCTTTGTAGCTCCTATGAATCATTAAGTCCCTCCCATCTGACTGACAATTGTAAGTGAGCAATCTGGACTACAATGATGTAATGAAAGGCAAGAACAAAGAGAGAATTTTTATTAACTTTTACAAATGACATTCATCCCAGATACAATATATACTGTTTTAAAATCTATTGCCCAAAATATTTATGCAAGAAAACATTTTCAAAGATGAAGCATCTTAAATCAGAATTCAATCTGAACTTCATTTAAAATCAATTTTGATGAAAGTAAACACAAATTTTGAGACATAGTTTTAAACAATAGATTTCATTTTTTAATCCAACATATTTTTATTACTTTAAATATTACTTTTATTATGTTAAACGTTACTTTTATTGGTTATCCATATTTGAGTAGACGCGCTGTTTATTTTAAAGATTATCATATTCTGTCTACCAGACTGCACACTCAAGAAAATTTAAAGAAATGCCGCCTCTGGCAGGATTTGAACCTGCATCCCTCTTTTCAGGAAAATCTGTCATTTGATTCGATGTGTTTTAATGACTCCTCTATCTTCAAAGTTTTCTTAAGTGTGCAGGCTGGTAGACAAAATAAAATATAGTTTAGAATTAACGGAGCATCTATTTAAATACGAGTAACCACTAAAAATAACATCTAAAGTAAGAAAAAAAATTTATGTCACAAAAAATTCATTGATTCATTATCTTTTGTTCAACAGTTAAGAAAATTGTATCAATTTCTTCTTACTTATAATAGAAATAATAAAAAATTAGTGTTATTTTATATCTCAAAAAACAATGGTAGTTGGTTGGATCCAACTACAGAGAAATTGGTAATAAAATGTGCTCAGCTACTCAAGTTTCACCCTCAAATCGAAGGATCATCAGGCCAGATTCAAATTTCATTCCTCTTAAGTAACTCTGGTTTTACTTTTTATTCAGTAATTTTATTGCAATTATATAATCCAAAGAAGAATCAGCAATATTACTGGTCCTGACCTGGCATCTTGTTTTCAGTCACTTTCTCACTGCCATAATGTAGCTTCTCTGTGCCTTTTCTATAAATACTTTCATGGTAATTGTTCGGATGAACTCTCCATAATGGTACCTAGACTTTATGAATTTAAGCACAGTACTAGATTGACAGCAAAGTCTCACCAATTCACAGTTAAATGGGCTAGCTGTAACCATATGTTCTATGCTAAAAGTTTTTTTCTCACCTGTTGAACTCTCTTCCGGCTCCATGCTTTCCAGTCGATTTTGATCTTCGAAGATTTAAATGCAATTTCAGCCATTATCAATTGTCTTCTTGATTACTCTATTGCTCTTGCTCCTTCATAATGTTTCTCTTTTCTCCTTTATTCTTTCACTCTCCTTGTGTTTTAGTGGCTTTCCTGCCTTGCATGGAGTAGTATGATTTTTATATATACACACATACATTCTAGCAAAGATACAAATTAGGTGGACTGGTCATGTTGTGAGAATGAATGAGCATAGGTTTCCAAAAAAGGTGCTGTATGGACAACTACTAAACTCTAAGCATTCAGTTGGATGTCCACTCTTACGCTACAAAGACAAATTGAAACATCCCAACTTTGATCTAAAAACCTGGGAAGCCCATGCATCAAACCGAAAGGATTGGCATAAGACATGTTTCATTAAGTTAAAAAGGGTTTTGAAGAGAGTAGACTGAAGTACTGTGATCAGCTTCATCAAGCTCTGAAGCAGAGATGCCATCAAAATCCTGCTTTAACAAATTTCATCTGTCGGTCTGACTTTGTCACCCACAGCAAGATTGGGCTAGTATCACAGTTAAGAAATCATAAATGAAATATATCTTTCCCTTTCCTGCTTTTTTCCACAATAGCCCCTGCTAACATGCATAAGTGTAAAAAAAAAAAAAAAAAAGTAACATCCACTGGTGACCCTCATTTATTGTTCACAATTGGAGAGTCCACTATATATATATATGCGAATGTTATGAGAACAAAAATAATATAAATTCTAACATTCACAGCATTAATTCAAAAGAGGGCTCGATACCAAGAGTAGAGCAATAATTATTTATTATAATTTTTACATGCTGACAAAAACAACTTACTCACTACAAATATGCATTCTTGTTTTGATGTGACTGCATCTTGACTGGTGAGAGCAAGTTGTTTTTTCTGTCTATAAAAATATATATATATATATATATATATATATATATATATAGCACTCTGAGGTTCTCCTGACTCCCAAGCTAAACTGCCAATCTAATCCACTTTGAAAATAGTTTAATAATCCCTGCCTAATCCCATAAATTCAGACATAAATATAAGTTTCAGGATATAGACTTTATTTTAGCTTTTAACATAATTGCATGCATATAACTACATATTTTGGGAAGGTCAGAGTGCAAATTCAACTTATTAAATTCAATTAACAATCCTGACTGAGTATAAGTAATTCATAATTATTGCAAATCTCTTTTAGTCGCCTGTATTTTTGAATCCTGTAAAAATCCTGAACTCTGAATTGCAAAGGTTACCCATGATTCTTTCTTTGTTTCAATCTCAGTGATGAACTCACTCCAGTTCATTTTTATGATCACTAGTGCACTAAAAGAGTTTAGCGTCACCATTAACCTGCTCAATGCAGTTAAGGGTTTGGTTTAATTTTATTTAACGGCATATCAACCTCAATGGGTTATTTAATGCAGACAACATTTTTAGGATAGATTCATATGAATAGAATATGTATTCTTTGGTTTAGATTGGTTTGATTTTGTTTTACGGCATATCAACCTCAATGGGTTATTTAATGCCAGTCAGGGCGGACCTGGGAACACCAGCAATTAAGAGGTTCTTCCACGCTCCTCAAAACCTCCTGATCAGAGGCTTTGCTGCTGGATGTAGTTTAACGTCTTACCCAGGACGATGCAG